TATTGGAGGTTAGGCGCTGTATGTCTAAGCCCTCCAGTGCTGGTAGATCATCTGCCGGCTTCGGATGCCGCTTCAAGTAAAACGTTTCGCTTAGGTGGGGATTTGCGGTGATAACATGAAGCTCTTCGAGATAATGTCACTTGCTGTTGTGGCACCGCTGCGAATATTCCACTGTCTCATATACGCTTCGCAATCGTTACTAGAGTCTGAGAGGACAAATTTGTCCCCGTCTGTAGCACCGAGTCTTTTTCCCACACTCATTGTAGGACCAATGGGACTTGATTGGTCCAGATTTCCGACACTTCATTGGCATAAACCGAGAACAAAAGGAGTTTGCTCTCACTTTTGTAGCTGCCCAACGGTTTATCAGATGCAACTTACGAAATTAAACCCCATGGTTTGCTACTCGAGTAAGATAGCAGAATTCAGTTTTCAAGTAGTTGTAGGCTGGCTACAGCGGATGAAAATACGGCAAAGTTAATTCAATACTGAATATAAGTACTAAGTGATCGTTTGCTGCTACGGACTCAAGGATCTGAACCCATTTAAATGATGTGCAAAGCGTGCCAACAACAAGTCTATCCATAACCGCGTTGAGCGCGGGGTTATACGTGCCAACTCGAAGTGGTGCGCAGCTCCACTTTCAAGCATATATGGTTAACGGCATCCGGTTTCGGATTCGTCTGTCACTGTGGCCAGCTACAGGACGCCTGCGCCTACAGAGGGACGACGGGTGGCTTGCGCTGCACCACTCACAGCTCCATCCACACACACCATATCCAGTGTAAACCCGAAGGAATAAGACCGGGAGGCATGCGGATGGGAGCCAGGTTTCATCAACGGAGCCGGCCCACACTCCTTCACAGGCAAACACAAGCACGCTGTAGTTGGGAAATCAAGCGCACACAAGGAGGTGGCTGGACCGTAGTCCGTTCCACACTGAGTGCATAGAACCACACTTCGAGCCTAACAGGACCACACGGACCGTGCATCCCGTCCCTTCCAGCAACGACCAACTGTCTCCTGGAGCCAGTATGAACGAGGTAGTGGTTAATAGACAGGTAGGCACCTTATCAACATGCACATCAAGCGCAGCCACACCTAGGATGTCAAACAACGACCAATCATTCGAAATGTCAATATCATATATCGAATAAAGTAAATCTATATGACGATATAAATACTCGCTAAATTAGCATATGGAGTAAATTGGTTATAAAGCGAATCCGCCAAAAGTACAAAAGGTCCGAAGGTTACTTAACAGTTACCACGTAATCAAGTTGCGCAAGGTTACCACAATTAGTATGAGCGACGTGTGCAAGTTAGGAGATTATCAAGTACGTAGAACAAACGAAATACAGTGGAATGAATTTTAATGTTGGACTTGGAGAATCCGCTGTGTGGAATAAATGTTGTCCACATTAAAAAGACCCAGTTTAAGCATATATATATATATATATATATATACCACGAGGGAGAGTCCATGGTGCGATGAGGCATGTGAAGGCGAGATCCTGACAGACCGTCAACTCGCTACTGCTAACGCTGTGCTGTGGGCTGAGGTACCGGACGCCTCCTCGTGGCGAGACTCGGTTTGCACTGAGTGCGAGTGATATAGCAACTTGGACACACACACACACGGAGCGGCTACGCTTATCTGCTCGATTGTCATTATACCTCAGCGTGGTATGCGCGAAGTGCGCATGACTCGTGTACTGCGTAGACCTGAGTGTGACAATGACCACAAATTGGTAGGAAAAAATTGTACATCTACGTGCGGAAAAGTACGTACCGTGTGCCTCCCGTGAACCGGAGTAAACGTAACATTCTCCCCCTCGGTACCGTGGAGAAACGTACTGAGCTGGAGAAGGCGATGGCTGCACGCCTGTGTGACGTGGGCTGCATAGCCACAGTGGGCGACCTGTGGCACCACATTCGCGACCACGTGACAGCTGCTGCCGAGGAGACCATCAGGCGCGCAAACTGTAAGCCGCCTGATTGGTTTGAGGAGAACAATGTGACGATTAGCGCATTGGTGTCGGAGAAGGATGCGGCATTTACTACACATGTGGCAGACCTCAGTGACTTGAGGAAGAGTCAGTTTCGCAAAGTTCGACGGCGACTTATCCGAGAGCCCCTTCGCATAAAAGAGCATGATGGAAGGAGAAGGCGAAACAGATGGAACGTTACGCCGAACGCCGTCAACAAAAGAAACACTGTGATTCATTGATGGCGTTGAATGGACCGAGGTTGGAGCCGCTGAGGACGCTAATCGATGTTAGCTCAGGCGCTACCTGCACACAGACTGCAGACATAATGCAGATCTGTCGGAAACACTTTGACTGTCTCTTGAACAACCGTTCAGAAATCGACTGGCCTACATTGACCGGCCTCAAGCAGCACGATGTGAAGGTGAATCTGGCGGACACACCGACAGTGGATGAGACGGCAAGAGCACTTGCTCAGCTACGAAACGGCAAGTGTGTCGGGGCCGACGGGATCCGCCTGAAGTATTGAAACGCGGTGGACCCGCGTTGTTGACTGCGCTGCACCACTTGGTGCAACGCGTATGGATTGAGGAGGAGGTGCCTCCTGAGTTGAAGGATCCCCTTGTGCAACCACTTTACAAGGGCAAAGGTGGCAAGCAATGTTGC